TTTTGTGTCGTTTATCTTTCTTTTCCTATTTTGGTTGCTATAACTTTCATCTCTATAATTGAATTTGCATTTCTTTCTGCATGAACCTTTTTAAAGGTTCCCAGTCCATTTGTTTGTTCTTGACTTTATTACTTAGCTGTTGTGATAAATTATCCATATTCATGTAGTCAAAGATTTTGTTTATCCATTCTTCAATTTGTGGAGAGACTTTTTCCTTCCATTTTTGGGCAATTGTTGTTCTGGCTGCGGCTGTTATATAAAAGAGGATCCTCTCTTCATTTTTAGTTAAGTTCAGCTCTGATATGTTTAAGAGGTAAAGCTCCAGTTTCATTTCAAATTTCACACTGATGATTTTTTGTGTGTATTTATGTATTGTTGACCAATATTTCTTAATTGTTTTGCACCCCCACCACATATGGAAGTGTGTGCCTAGCTCTTTTTCACATCTCCAACATCTATTACTGTAATTTTTGTTGAATTTCGATAAACGTGAGGGTGTCCAGTACCATCTAAAATAAATCTTATACCAGCCCTCAACTATATTTGATGCTTTTGTGAATTTTAGTTTCCTTTTCCATACTGTTTCCCTCTTTCACTGTACTTTACCTGAAAATGAAAATAAAAATTAAAAAAAGTTACCAATTATTGGTTTGCATTATGATTATGAAAAAGGACAAGTTGTTACTTTACTTGTTACTTGTTACTTTTTGAATACTTTTTGCTTTGAAAGGAAAAACCAGTAGGGTTGGAGAAGTTAGAAAAAAAACCCCTCCAAATGCCTCTAAAATGGCTTTGAATGTGGCTTTTGATAACAACCAAAATTAATGCTTGTTACAGTAATAAAGTGATCTTATCTGTTCTACCACTTTTAAACTGCCACTTTATTACAACCTCATTACCTCCAAAGACCTGTTCCTCATTACTTTGGATGTTAACAAACACTTCCTGGACACAGTTTCTGTGGCATTCAAACAAAGTAAAATAGAATCTGGCAAGCTCTTTCTTAATCTTAATCTGTTGGAGTGAAGCAAGTTTAGAAGTACAGCTGGCCTCTAATTAGAACACTCAAGGGCTTCTTAGTTTTCAGTGACTATGTCACAGTTTTTGAGGTTGGCTTTAAGCCCATCTTTAAATCTCTTTTCCTGTCCACCAACATCCTGTTTTCCATTCTTGAGTTGAGAGTATACTAACTGCTTTGGGAGATGGTGATTGGGCATTCAGACAACATGGCCAGTCCAGCGAAGTTGATGGCAGGGGATCATTGCTTCAATGCTGGTGATCTTTGCTTCTTCTGGAACTCTGATATTTGACCACCTGTCTTCCCAAGAGATTTTCGGAGGCAACGCTGATGGAATAATTCCAGAAGTTGAGTGTGATGTCTGTAGATTGTCCATATTTCATAGGCATATAACAGGATTGGGAGGACAACAGCTTTATAGACAAGCATCTTGGAATCTTACAAATGTCCCGATCCTCAAACGCTCTCTGTATTATTTGGGGAAAAGGCTGCATATGCAGAGCTCAGATGGTGTTGTATTTCAGTATGAATGTTGACTTTTGTGGAAAGGTGGCTGCCAGGGTAGTGGAAGTGGTCAACATTCTCCAACATTACACCTTTAAGCTGTATTTCTGGCATTACAGAGGGATTGGCTAGTGCCTGCTGAAAAAGCACTTTGGTTTCTCAGTATTCAGTGAGAGGCAAAGCTTTTTGTATGCTTCTTAAAAGGTGTTTAGAGCAGCTTGTAGACCTTCTGAATGAGAACAGACTTCATTGTCATCAGCATATTGGAGTTCTATAACAGATGTTGTTGTGAACTTGGTTTTGGCTTTCAGTCTATTGAGATTAAATAACTTGCCATCTGTCCAATAGATGATTTCCATGCCGCTTTCTACTGATATGCCATGTCATATAAGGGATGCCATTTAACTATACCATTGTATATCATTATACTTGAGCATCCATGGATTCTGGTATCTATGAGGAGGTGGGCTCCTACAGCCAAATTCCAGTAGATAGAAAGTGCACAGATTCTGCTCCAAGATCTCCTTAGCAAAAGGGAAACACTTTTGAAAAGATAACATAAGAGTGGTGTCCAGGTAATGGAAAGAGATAGGCTAATACCTCCAAACCAATCTGGATATTAATATACCGGAAACTAGTATTTGGGGGGTGGGGGGGGGGGGGGGGGAGGACAAATTTGCTGGAAAGATGTGGGCAAAACTTTCTCATGATRAAATAAATTTGTGTTATCACCTCAATAGGAAAAGGTTTACTGTTGAATGTGGAGACATTTACACACTTCATGAACAGATATTCAAAAACTCATACTATCCCATTTGTGATCTGAAGATTAGCAGTCCAGAAGTGGTTTTGCCATCTCTTCTGCTATTTCCATACAGAACCACTAGATGGTGAAATTCTTCTATAATCAAAAAGGACTAAAGGACTGGCATATTGAAGATGATTGCATAATACGGGATATCGGATGTCCACCAATTGGTTTGTGAATTCCAGAGAGCTATTCAGTGTTATGTTGTTTTGAGCAGGCACTCTGGTTTCAAGATCAAGAACTTGGAGAAGTATGAATAGAAAATGATTCATGCTTATCTTTCCAAACAGATGAATGCAGAGACTCTAGAAAACATTCTTGAATTAAAAAAGGCATAAAAGACATGCAACATGCTTTCACTACAAAGGCAAGAGAAAAGGATCTTGGAGATTCTTTGTGTATTCCTATTTGCCACTTCTTTCCCCCCTGTTAACAAACACTTCCCAAACTCAACTGTGACATTTCTGTGGTGTTAAACCAAAGTAGAACAGAATCTGGCAAGCTCTTCCTTATTTTTAACATGTTGGAGTGGAGCTCACACAAACAGAACTTCAGAACTTCAAGGACGCTGAACTCAAAGTGTATTTACTTATTCTTCATATATGGAGAAATTTAATGTATCCAAACCCACCCAAATATAAGTTTATAATATAAATATAATATAATATAAATATAAATATAAGTATATAATATAAGATACAAGTTCCCACAACACTTTAGAGCAGTGTTTCTCATCTGGGAGTCGGGACCACTGGGGGAGTCATGAGGGAGGTTTCAGTAGGGTTGTCAAAGGCTATCAGAAAAATACATGTTTCTGATGGTCTTAGGTGCCTCTTTGGTGGAGAAGGCTGACGATCTCTCCATCTGACCTCTTTCTTTTTGGAAACAGATGGTGAATCCTCCCACCAAAAGCCCACTTCTGCTGTGATTGATTGGGCTCTCAGCTGGCCTCTCAGCCAAGGGGAAGACTGTTTCTGAGACAAGTTCTGTGTGGCAAGTTTATTAGTTCCATCATCAATTTGGTACAGAGTGTTCTCTGAGTGTTGGTGAACTACAACTCACAGAATTCAAAAACAGCTTCCCCCAAACCCACCAGTGTGCAATGTTGGCCATGTAAGTAGTGTGCTAAGTTTGGGGCAGATTCATTGTGAGCTGAGCTCAGAATGCCCTTTTGATTGTAGGTGAACTATAAATCCCAGCAACTGCAACTCCCAAATATCAAGGTCTATTTTCTCCCAAACTCCACCAGTGTTCACATTTGGACACATGGAGAATTCGTACCAAGTTTGGTCCAATCCATCATTATCTGAGTCCATCATCATTATCATTATCATTATCTATAATGGTATAGTACAATGTAGTAATATATAATACTGATATTGTGCTATGCCTCGTGAAGGCGGACCTGGCCAGGGTGGTCCATGCCTTAGTCACCTCCAGATTGGACTACTGAAAATGGCCCAGAAATTTCAATTGGTCCAACGGGCGGCGGCAAGGCTGTTAACTGGTGCTCCTTACAGGGAGAGGTCAACCCTCCTGTTTAAGGAGCTCCACTGGCTGCCATTCATTTTCCGGTCCCAATTCAAGGTGCAGGTGCTTACCTACAAAGCCCTAAACGGTTTGGGACCCGCCTACCTGCGTGACCGCATCTCTGTGTATGAACCCACATGATCTCTTAGTTCATCTGGAGAAGCCCTACTCACGATCCCACCTGCATCGCAAGCGTGATTGGTGGGGATGAGGGATAGGGCTTTCTCGGTGGTGGCCCCTCGACTCTGGAACTCTCTCGCTAAGGACACCAGGCAAGCCCCATCGCTGGCCATTTTTAGGAGGAGCTTGAAAATGTGGTTGTTCCAGTGTGCCTTCCCAGAATAAGGAAACTCCAAGCATTATGTCCCCAAAGGCACTTTATCAGAGATCCAGGATATCTGCATGCCCATCCCCCTCCAAACACCTACCCTTCCACCTGGTCATGCCCAGCACTTTTTAAATTTTAATTATTACATTTGGCCCTGCCATAGATTTTAATTACGTCATGGTGTGTTGTTAATGTTATTGCCTTGTTTTTGAGTTATTTTGCTGTATTGTTGTTGTTGTTGTTTTTACTGTTGTATTTGGGCTCGGCCTCTTGTAAGCCGCACTGAGTCATCTGGGAGATGGTAGCGGGGTACAAATAAAGGTTTATTATTATTATTATTATTATATAATATATTGCATGTATATATATCTTGTAAGCTGCTCTGAGTCCCCTTTGGGGAGAGAAGAGTGGCAAATAAATGCCATAAACAAACAAACAAATGTAAATGAAAATACATCCTGCATATCAGATATATCCATTATGCTTCATAACAGTATAACATTGTAGGAGAATGAGCCCCACCACATCTTGGAGGGGCAAGTGTTCCTCATCTATTATATAAAGCTCTCCTTCATTCCAAAACCTATGTGGGAAAGTAATAATCATACCTCAAAATCAGGTTGAGAAGTCAGTCCACTCTGTAGTTAATCCCTGAATTTGGATTCAAGGTGCCCTGGGTTACCATGGTGTCACTGTCCAAGGATCTTCTCCACTGTGTCACAAGCGAGTGTGTTGGCAACATTCCAGAAGAGGGCTGAGAGTTCTGCCATGAAAGATAAAAGCTTCACTTAGATTGGCAGACACAGGCCTTTATGCTAGACCTAAAGCTAAAGGTGACCAAGAACTGTATGTATTTCAACATGACCTGTATGATGTCTGAGGCTATGTAAGTGCACACAGCTCTCCAGTTATTTCTTTGTGGAACATGTGGCTATCTGCTTAGAAGAGGGATGTGTTCAGGACCCTTTGTCCTGTCCCAGTCTTTGAAAAGGAAAACCAAGGGAGAAATCTTGGGAAGAGAGAAGAGGAAGCTTGTGAGGAGCTCCCAATTTTGCTTAGATATTTGGTGACACCTACTGGTTCCTCTTTCTTTAGTGGGGAAACAGTTTAAATGGAAGAGGTGCCTTTGCAAGAGGTGGAAAGAGGAGGCGGAGGAAAGAGGAGACTTGGCCTTGAAAAAAAGAAATAATAAATAATCCTGTCCTGAAGGAGTCAAGTGAGCAAACTGGTCGTTCCAGTAGCTGGCAAGGAAGACTTCTTGGGCAGCCAAGCTTGACAAGCTCTCCAAAGATTCCCCACCTCTTTTACAAGAAAAGGTTCCTGAAAGGGGAACTCTCCTTGCAAACCGGTTTGGTTTTCTTTCCCCCTGCTGCCTGGCGTGTCCCGGTGCGCTTTATCAAGGCACAAGCTCTCGGCCTCCTCCTCCTCCCTTGGCCCCTCCAGAGGCATTTGGAAAGCTCAGCCTGCTCCGGGGAAAGCTTTCTCCACCTGCCATGAAGAAAGACGGCGTGGATAACCCGGCTTTTGAGCCCGGCAGCCCGGATCGGGGCGGCGCGATTCCGGCTTCCAGCAGTGCCATCGAGAGCTCGCTCGGCTCTGAATCCTTCGACGACGAGCTCTGCGGGTTTGGAGGCTATGCGCCCGTCGCCCTGCAGCTCTGCAACAACGCCAAGGGCTACTTGGTCTTCTACAGCCTCCTCTCCATCTTTCAAGGTAAGGAATTGGAAAAAGAGAGAGAGAGAGAGAGAGACTCGCTGCAGACAAACGCAGGGTAATGCATTGTCGAAGGCTTTCATGCCTGGAATCACTGGGTTGTTGTGAGTTTACCGGACTGTATGGCCATGTTCCAGAAGCATTCTCTCCTAACGTTTCGCCTGCATCTGTGGCAGCCATCCTTAGAGGTTGTGAGGTCTGTTGGAAACTAGGAAAATGGGGTTTATCTATCTATGGAATGTCCAGGGTGGGAGAAAGAACTCATGTCTGTTTGAGGGAGGTGTGAATGTTTCAACTGGCCACTTGATTAGCAGTTAATGGCCTTGCACCTTCAAGGTCTGGCTTCTCCCAACAAAGGATTCCCCCAGGCAGTAAGAAGCCAGACCTTGAAACTGCTAGCCCATTGAATGCCAATTGAATGCTTGAAACTGCTAGGCCATTAAATGTGAATCCAGGTGGCCAGTTGAAACATTCATATCTACCTCCAACAGACAAGTGTACTTTTTCCCACCCTGGACCTTCCACAGATACATAAACCCCATTTTCGTAGTTTCCAACAGACCTCATAACCTCTGAGGATTTTTTTTTGTTGTGTCAGGAGCAACTTGAGAAACTGCAAGTCGCTTCTGGTGTGAGAGAATTGGCTGTCTGCAAGGACGTTGATTTGATGTTTTTATTATCCTTGTGGGAGGCTTCTCTCATGTCCCCGCATGAGGAGCTGGAGCTGATAGAGGGAGCTCATCCGCCTCTCCCTGGATTCAAACCTGTGAACTGTCGGTCTTCGGGCCTGCCGGCACAGGGGTTTAACACACTGCGCCACTGGGGGCTCTGCGGATGCCTGCCATAGATGGAGGTGAAACATCTGGAGAGAATGCTCCTGGAATATGGCCATATCGCTCAGAAAACTCACAACAACCCAAACGCAGGATAGCTTGGTTTACATAGCAGTCTGTTCGCCTGCATTTCTGGCCCCATAGTTTTAACTGGAGGTGCACCTACACTATAGAGACCATGCAGCTTGACACCACTGTAACTTTATTTATTTATTTATCATGTCAGAAGTGAATTGAGGGAACAGCTGAGATGTATTTAACTACACTAACAAATTTTAAAAACGTGGCATTATGCTAAATTTCCTTTGACCAGACGCTGGCCACTTAGAGTGCCTCTGGTGTTGCTGTGAGAAGGTCCTCCATTGTGCATGTGGCAGGGATCAGGCTGCATTGTAGCAGGTGGTCTGTGGTTTGCTTTTCTCTGCACTCACATGTAGTGGACTCCACTTTGTGGCTCCATTTCTTAATATTGGCTGAGCATCTTTGGTGGCATCTTTGGTGTCAGAGAGCAACCTGTTCAACACTTTCCAAGTCGCCCAGTCTTCTTTATGCTCAGGAGGGAGTTTCTCATCCAGCCTCAGCCACTACTTGAGGTGCTGGGTTTTATTATTTTATTTATTTAAAATATTTCTATTCCACCTTTCTCACCGCAAAATAGACTCAGTGCGGAGCACAGCATATATACGGCAAACATTCAATGTTGGGACATGAATTTAATATATGCATACATAAACATTAAAAACATTTGTCTCAATATTAAAATACTCTGTTTAAAATTGTCTTGATCATCTGTGTCTAATCTTGGCCTAGTAAGGTTTCCTATCGCTGCATTATTGCACTGTCCCGAAAGCTTGGTCCCACAGCCAAGTTTTTATCATCCTCCTGAAGGACATGAGGGAGGGGGCCAATCTGATCTCACTAGGAAGGGAGTTCCATAGCTGAGGGGCAATCACCGAGAAGGCCGTCTCTCTCGTCCCCACCAGTCGCACCTGTGACAGTGGCAGGATGGAGAGCAGAGCCTCCCTGGAGGATCTTAATCTTTGTGATGGTTCATAGGGGTAGATGTGTTCAGACAGGTAAATTGGGCCGGGGCCTGCCACTTTTGGACTCTCGCTTGCTGAGGTGTTCCTGTGAGTATCTCTGTTGATCTTAGGAAGCTGTTTCTTGATTTAAGGTGTTGGCATGCTGGCTGATATCTGAAGAGAGGATGAGATGGAGATGTCATTGCCTCGGTCCTTTCATTATTGGCTGCTACTTCCTGACAGATGCCAGGTGGTGCAATACCGGCTAAACAGTATAATTTCTCCAGTGGCGTGGTAACTGCCATGGCCCAATGCTATGGAATCCTAGGAGTTGTAGCTTTACAAAGTCTTTAGGTTTCTTTGGCAATGGGTCCTGCTGCCTCAATGGGTCCTGCTGCCTCAAACCACAATTCCTTTAATTCCATTGCATGGAGCCCTGGCAGTTAAAGTAGTGTCAAACTGCAGTATAATGTAACTGTGTAGATGCACCCTGGGACTCTGAGTTGCCTCCTATATACTTGGTAGTGGGGAGGAGAGAAGGAGAGAGATTTGATAGGTTGTTAAGCAATGAAAACACAGGATCTCACTGTTGCTTCCCCAAACTTTAAAGATATATTTCTCAAGAAAGGGAGAAGAAGAATCCATCACACACACACCTTCAAATGCCATTAACATAAGGCAGAGCCAGCAGGATGTAGTGCAGGCATGGGCAAACTTTGACCCTCCAGGTGTTTGAGACCTTAACTCCTACAATTCCTAAAAGCCAGTAGGGTGTCAGGAATTGTGGGAGTTGAAGTCCAAAACACCTGGAAGGCCACTGAAGTTTGCCCATGCCTGGTGTAGTGGCTTGAATGATGGACTCTGGGAGACTAAGGTTTGGATCCTTCCCTGGACCATGCAAAGCCAGTTGGGTGACCTTAGCAAAGTTCCACTCTTTCAGCCTCAGAGAAGGCAAGGGGAAATCCACTCTGAACCAATATTGCCAGGGATATCCTATGTCAGGGCTGGCTTCAGGTGGCCATTAGTTTGAAATGATTTAAAAGAATGTAGGAGCAGCATGTCTTGTATCCATCATTTTCCCCTAAAGTCAGTTCTGGGCTTTGTGAGGGACCTTGGCATCATTGCTGAGGCTGTCCTGTTTTTGTTTGGAATTATGTTTCATCTAACTCACTGTGATGCAAACTGGTTGGCAACAGCCCTTAGGACAAATGAAGTAAATGCTTGGCAGTGAAGGCTGTGATGGGGTGGGGGACACTTAAATGAGTACTTGGCCATCTCATTCTTCCTGAGATCCTAAGGCAGTGGTTTTCAACCTATGGGTCCCCAGATGTTTTGGTCTTCAACTCCCAGAAATCCTAACAGCTGGTAAACTGGCTGGGAGTTCTGGGAGTTGTAGGCCAAAATACCTGGGGACCCACAAGTTGAGAACCACTGTCCTAAGGGATTCTTCTGTTCTACATCTCCACACCTCTTTGGTCTGCTGCTCTCACCCATTATGACTGCTGAGCTAAAGTTCAACTGCCAGTTATTAATATGTGGAACATGTACATTTTTTTTTGCCTTGGACAGAAAAATGTCCAAGAAAAATGCAGGATTTCAACACTACATGAAAGGCCTGAGATTGAACTTCAGACCTTTTTTGTGCAAACCATGCATTGTGCCACAGTCTTTACAGACCTAATTACCTCACTTCCCCCAGCAGATAATTCCATGTTGTCGAAAGGCAGCACATTGACACGGCACAATTATAACAGTTTGGTACTTCAATTGCCATGATTTCATACTATAGAATCCTGGAATATGTAGTTTGTTGAGGGTTACAGCCCAATGAACTTGAAACTTTCTGTCTGAAGAGTCCAGATATCTCACAAAACTACAAATCTCAGGACCAGAACGTGACTCCATTCTATGTGACTCCAGAAGTTCGAATGGCATTGCAGGTGCTATGACTGTGTTGTGTGTAAATGTCTCCGTAACCCTTAACACCACTTTCATTTGAGCAACAGAGTCTTTTAAGTCCTGTGCAAATGTTCTTGTTTGTATTCTTGAGGGGCAATTGATTATGATTGCAGCAACTGAGAAGCTCTAGCTCCCATTTTGCAGTGGCCAGATATTTGCATAACATTCCGTGTATACAGAGACCCTATGCACACCAGGCCCACCAATCAATCCATAATTTTACCAGTGTTCAAATTCCACAGTCAGAGCCTGCAAGTGCAGGTTTCTTATTACAATTAATATGTCGATCCTTCCACCATTGTGTGTAAGGGTGATGGAAACGACAGTGAATTAGAACTGGATTTCAGCATACATCAAGTGGCTTCATTAAAGCCAATGGAACCAACTGAAATCAATCCAATTTACAGATTCAGGGCAAAATATAATATTTATGCACAATTAAAGTTTGTGCATCCATTCCGACTGTTCCTTGAGAAGCTAGACTTGGCCATGGTGGTCCACACTCTTGTTATATCCCAAATAGACTACTGCAACACACTCTATGTGAGGTTGCTTTTGAAGACTGTTCGGAAGCTTCAAATGGTCCAATGGGTAGCAGCCAGATTTCTCACCTGAGCAGAGTACAGAGAGTATACAGCTCCCCTGTTAAGTCAGCTCTACTGATTGCCTGTCTGCTACTGAGCACAATTTAAAGTGTTGGCTTTAGCCAATAAAGCCCTAAATGGTTCTGGCCCAGATTGCCTGTCTGACCGTATCTCTCCTTATGAACCATTTGGACTCTAGGGTCATCTGGGGAGGTCCTACTCTCGGTCCCGCCTTTGCAGATGTGTTTGGTGGGAACAAGAGACAGGGCCTTCTCAGTGGTGGCCCCTCAGCTATGGAACTTTTTCCTCAGCAAAATCAGGTCAGTGCCCTCCTTTCTGGCATTCAGAAAGCAAGTAAAACATGGCTCTGGGACCAAGGCTTTGACCAATAGTGCAGTGCAATAAGTGATGATATAAAATGTGCAATGATAGCTGGAACAGCCTTTTGACTATGATCTTGGATTGTGTGGTTTTAATAATGTGTTTTAAATTTATGTTTTAATGTATATTTTATTTTATACTGTTGCTGATATGGCATCAAATTGTTGCCTTTTGTAAGTCCGCTCTGAGTCCCCTTAGGGGTAAGAAGGGTGGGATATAAATATTGTAAATAAATAAATAAGTACTCAAGAAATTAAACATTTCTTGTTAATGGTGTCCAAAATGTGCTGCATCCTCATTTTGCTCTGATTCTTGGTATAGAAAGAATAGTTTAAGACTTCTATGAAATCAAGTTATATTTGAGTGGCTGCTAATAATTGGGAATTTAACTCACTGCAGCCAACAGTGGTAACTACCATGATCTGCTTTTCCTCTAGAGACCTTCAAAGATATCACCATGGGCACTGGACCATGGATGCTTATGTGCATCCATCCTCCTCAATTTTCACAGACCTCCCTGTTGAATTTGTGAAGGGAGAAAAATACTCTTAAACCCTTTCAGGCTCTTTCATATTTCACAAAAGATTATATTTTAACATTTAGTTCCTTTAGCTCTCTCCATATTGTAAAATGTAGTCAAACACCTGACTGAAAAACCACGAAGTATAAACTGAAAATGAGTTCTGATCACTTCTGGTCTGCATTTCCAGAATTAGGTACAAATGTGGTGTTATGGTCTCCCGTGAAGATGTAAATTCACTCTTATCACAATAGCTCACTCTGGCTGTGCAATATTAACACTGCAATTCCATAATCACATGAGAATCATAGTTTGTTAAGGCTTATTTCCAGATAGACATATATGGGATTTCAGCCACATTTTTGTGAAGTCATTCATTTTTCATTAGTGGATATCTTTATTGCAAGCTGTAACATTTGCAGATGGCATATTAAACAGGTGTAAAAAATATTTTTTTATCCATCTTACTTTACTACTTTAATATACATATTTCACCTTATGTTTTATGCCATTTCACAATCAACAGGCCCTGTTTGGAATAACTTTGAAAGTTAAGGAAGAAAATTTTATGAAAGTGTTTTTTTTATCTCTCTCTCTATATATATCAATGAAATATCTTTATGACCTTTGATTGTCTAATTATATGTCTCTTTTGTTGCAGGCATTGTGGTAAATGGACTAATAAATGTGAGCATTTCCACAATTGAGAAGCGATATGATCTGAACAGTTCCCTCACAGGTGTAATATCTGCAGGCTACGACATTTCATTCTGTGTTTTGTGCCTTTTTATATCCTTCTATGGTGAAAGAGGGCACAAACCGAGATGGCTTGCCTTTGCATCTTTCCTCATAGCACTAGGATCCCTGGTATTTTCCTTGCCACATTTTACTAGTGGAGTATATACATATGGAGAAAAAATTGAAGGTAAGCTCATCATAGGATTTTTATTGGTTTCTTAAGTTCCTTTTATTGATGCTTTGGAGAAGTGTAATGAATCACACACTGAATTTATACAAGTTGAAGATTCTTTGTCCAGAATTTCTGAAATGTGAAACTCTGAAATTGCCCACATGATTGACTGAGATAGAGACACTTTGGCTTTCTGATGATTCAATGGATACACAGACTATTTCATGCACAAAATTATTAAAATATACTATGTAAATTTACTTACAAGCTATGTATATAAGGTATATTGAACATAAATGAATTTTGTGTTTAGCTGAATTTCCAAGATACCTCATTATCTATGTACAGTAGAGTCTTGCTTATCCAACCTTTGCTCTTCCAATGTTCTGTATTATCCAACACAGTCCAGGGTGGGAGAAAAAAATGACCCTTGTCTATTTTGGTGCTAAATTTGTAAATACAGTAATTACTACATAACGTTACTGTGTACTGAACTGCTTTTTCTGTTGATTTGTTGTAAAACATGATGTTTTGGTGCTTGTTTTGTAAAATCATAATGTAAATTGACATTTAATTTTCCTTAATTTCTCCTTGTTATCCAACATTTTCGCTTATCCGGCGTTCTGCTGGCCCATTTATGTTGGATAAGAGAGACTCTACCGTATATGCAACATCAGATATTCCAAAATACAAAAAAAAATATCTAAAACTTGTTTGGTCTCAAGCATTTAAAAAAGAGATACTCAGCTTGTGCCATCCCTATCTACATCTACATCTGAATGTATTTATGAGTGTATACTCTCTATTCTCTCTTTATCATATTCTCTCTTCATTAGGATTGACAGTTATCACATGTGGATTCTATTTTCGTCTCTAGATGGGGAGCGTCCATGTATGTTTCTGTTCTCAGTATAGCACAAAGCACTCTGCAGCACAAAGATTCTAACTACTAATGGTACTTTGATGCTATCACACAATGCTGTTATACCATTACAGAGTAGATTAATCTCTCCTTTGCCTCAGCCTTATCACACAATTTGGTAGCTCCTTGGGTGTTTTTGTGCTGTTGAGCAATTTTTATTTCAGTGGAAATAATCTGTTAATGATCCTACCCTTCCCAGTATAGTTTAGTTTCCAGTTTGAATGTGACTGTTTCATTCTGCAAGAAGGATTAAATAGTGGATGTGGATTAGATATGAACTGATTCTTTGTTCTTTGGGGATTTCCAAGATAATATCTGGCAAGGAAGGTCAAATTGCATTTAGTGCCTTGGCTTTGTTTACTGGTTTGTGATCTATACTCTATACTTTGGAAACTTTTTAAAAGATTTTTTTTAAAAAAACTATCTATATCTATATCTATATGAGAGAGAGAGAGAGAGAGAGAGAGTTTGTAATCATAGTGCAATGAAGGAGCAATCTTGACCTGTAAACATTTGCAAACCACTATTCAAATACCTTACTGTAAGGAGACATTTTCCAAAGATCTCTTCTCTGTTTTCCTTTGGCATCAGGTGCCACAGTGTTACCGTTGCAATGTTATTATATATTGTTATCTATAACTATGATGCAAGATGTAAAGCAGACAAGATTGTATGAATGGTATTTTTGTATTAAGAAAGTTATAGTGCAGAATAGAAATACTAAAAATTAAGCTGTTGAAGCATAAGTGTGATGAAGGTGTGATACACGTCATCATTTAACTACCTTTGTTAGTATGGATGAAACTGTTTTTGAACAAAATAACTCAAAGCGATTGACTAGTGTGATAAGCCTCCTAGTGACAGAACTGTCAGTCAAGCCATTAACCTTGGCATGGTTTGATAAAGCAAATGAAAAATAGTGACACTTACTGAGAGGGTACAGTATTATGTCTCCTCAGAATAAAACAGTGCCTCCAATGCCATTTTTTCATATAAGTGCTTCTTCCAAAGTAAACTGTGGCAAGAGCTCCCAAATTTGGTCCTCCAGATATTTTGAACTTCAGAAGCCACAGCCAGCATGACCAATGACTAAGAATTTCTCAAGTTGAAGTTCTACAAAATCTGGAGAACCACAGTGTAAGAAACATTGGGCTATGAGAAAGCCTCCCCAGTTCTCTGTATTTCAAATTCCGGCTGCTTTTGGAGACTAGGGATATCATACTGATGATCCCCACTCCTGCCTTTTGTTCCATTTTGCCAGCAATCACTGGCAAAATGGAAGGTGCATGGAGCACCTCATGCTGACTTGTGTACCCTCCCTCCTTCCCTTATCACATGGGGGCATCAGGACAAGGCGTGTTGGTGCCCTCTCCCTTCTCTCACCAGACAGGAGAATGTGTGGCAAGGTGCATTGCCGCATTGCCATTTTCTCCATCAGTTGTGTGTATGGGGGGGGGGGGGGGGGGGGGGGGGAGGGAAGCCCAAAAACCACAGTTATCTCTATACTCAAAAGACAATTTACTCACTATGGTTGATGAGGAAGCTTCTTGCAACGCTTCCTCCCTACTCTATCCATTGATGGAGCAGGGCCACAACCTGAGTCATATGATGTCATTCAGCAGGATCCATGGCTGAAGACGAGTAAGAGGCCAAAAAGCCCCATGTGATAAAGTGGCTAGAACTGGAGCTTGGGTTGACATTTATTTTCTAAATAGCAAAACAAATCTGTGACAGAACTGTTAACCAAAACATTAACCTTGGCATGATCTAGTAAGTGCTTTTCAGACTCAGGCTGCTTTTGGAGACTTAGCACCAGGCCCGTAGCCAGGATTTTGTTTCGGGGGGGGGCTGAGTTGTTCGGGGGGGGCTGAGTCTGCGTGAAAGAGGGTCTACCCTAGCAAACCTTTTGTATCATTACCCCAATACCCCCATGCATATGGGATATATTGAGCATGGTGATCAGATCATGATATGAATAAACATAACAGTTTAAATAATGTACCAGTAAGGCCTTTTCGCGAACCACCATGAGAATTTCGGGGGGGGGGGGCTGAAACCCCCCAAGCCCCCCCCCCCAGCTACATGCCTGCTTAGCACGTATTCACATGGGGCATTTTTGCTCTGTTTTGCTGCTTTGTGGTGTGGTAAGGATGGGTCCTGCCATGCGTTGTGTAATGGTGCATGGCAGGCCCTGCCCACATTCTTCCCAAAGTGAGGTGGAAAGTGTCATTTGGGTAGCTCTGATGGAGCTACCCACACTTTCCTCCCCTTTCTCCCATCTGATGGGGACAGGGACAGGGTGCCAATGCACACAGTCCCGTTCCCACCATGTGATGGGGGAAGGAGAGAGGGTGTGTGGGGTGCCACAAGCCACCCAGCATGCATTCCCTTTTTCTAGTGATTGCTGGTGCAACAGCACAGCCTGAAAGAGCCATGGGAAGAGGTCCTTGAACTGGAGTTTGGGTTATCATATCTTGGCTAAATGGCATATATAGTGCTTTCAGCTAGGATTCAAATCAGGAAAAAATGACAACTGCCATTCAGTCATGGTCCCATTCTGGCAGAGGCATCACAGAAAAAAAGACAGAAGGAAATAGATTTCTTTGAATTTCCATATAATATTATTTAATTATATCATGATAACAGAATAGGTTATATCCTAGGAGCCCTGTAATGTGAAAGGTTCCTATGCTTTAATTGTCATGGTTTCATCCCATGGAATGCTAAGTGTATAGCATGAAAAGGCGATATGATTCTCTGTTAATTGTTATGGTTTCATCCTGTGGAATGCGAAGTGTGTAGTCTGAAAGGGCGCTATGATTCTAATTTAACTACCATGGTTTCATCCCATGGGATAGTAAGTATATAGTGTAAAAGGGCCCCGTGATTCTACTTTCATTGTCATCGTTTCATCCTATGGAATACTGAGCTTTCCAGTCCGAAAAGGCACATTTAGAATTCCTGTGCCCCCCCTAACCCCCCCCCATAAACCCCAGAATCCTGTAAGATTCTGCTATGGCAGTTAAATATCAAAACAAATGATATAATCGTGCAGTGTGAAAGGACCCTTGGTTGTATTTAGGTCTCCTTAAAATCAGTATGAATCAGTCATGACTAAATTCCACTAATTTCAGTGGGAGTATAAATGAAACTCACGTAGTCTGGATTGAACTCTGTGTCTTTTCAAAGGATTGATATGACTGCTCTCTGACTATTCCTTTATTACACTAGGAGAGCAGTTGCCTGTTAGTGACTGATTTCATGGAGATAATAGGTGAGGAATCTGTACATGTTTCTGAAATGGACTAGCCAGCAGAGGTAGAAGACGTGGAGGGGAAGACAGATTTTGTTTGTGAGTAACAAGCACTTGCAATTCGGAAGCCACACAAGCACACAAAACATAAGGGTTTTTGGCTATCTGAAACTTGCTATATAATCTATGAGATTCAAGTTGGGAGCTGTCCAGCATTCTGTCAAGGAATTTGTCTTGTAGGAGTGTCTTTTCCCTTTCACTTATGCTGTCCTTATATACAGCAAATAAATCCTATTTTACAAAGGTAATTAATTAAACCTTTCATTGGAATTAACTGCCATCTAAAGGTAACTGAATCATAAGCACTGCTATTCCTAAAGGTTCCTGGCCCCCCCCCCCCCTTTGAGTCAAACTCAGCCCCCACCCCCAAATCAAACTTAGCACCTCCCGAATCAAAATCCTGGCTACGGGCCTGATCACCAGAATCTAGTTCAAGTGGTTGAACTATGTACATTTAATCTCCATGGTGAAAGAAAGCAACGGTAACTTACACTAACATGGTGATTAGGATACAAAACGTGTCACACAGAGACTATGTATCAAAATGTTAGAGAGATAAAATCAATCATTAAACAGCCTGGGCAGGATCCCAAACTACACTCTACTCTGTTTATTAGTTGTGAAGAGCTCATTGCTGAAAGCAAGGTGATAGACTTTGAACTAGAAAACATACATTCAGCACAGAACCACATCCTTCTTATTATGAGAATTGCCCCATGCACACTGGATTTTAAATACAGATTATCATATATACTTTAGTATAAGCTGACCTGAACCACC